AGTGAGAAGGCACATTTGAATTTGACCCAGTAATCGTGACAGCCCTACTTTAATCCTGACTGTCTTCAGCAGCCACACAACTCGCCTGCCGAAAATGACATCATAGTGAACCCATAAAGTGAAACCTTCCCAAAATACACGTTTCTGAAAACGCTGTATCACTTCGAGCTCTGCATGCTGGAACTGGGAGAAAGGCTTCCCTCAGATCTCTCGCTGGCCTCCGCAAAGCAAGGCTATGTTCACAGGAGACAGCAGACAGTCATTTGAGATTAGTATCACGAACCAGAGCAAAGCAACAGCTTCACCACACATACAAGTGCCAGTCTGATAAATTCATTTATACAAAGCATGGACTCGAACTCCTCATGGGGTCTGGTTATGTAAGCCTCTGGCTGATGTCTAACCAAACGTCTACAGCCGTTTTGCATGACAAATGCAGAGTGCACTGATCTCTTCAGTCTGAAAGCCAAACTAAACACTCTCCACTTCACTGAACGCCCCAGTGGACCAATGGCACTCTGAGTGAAACTGATTTTAATTGGCTAAAAAGTGTGATAACTGATGAAAAATGTATTATTTATATCAGATTTTAGTTTTGTATTCCAATCGTTCTGGTTAAACCCATTTGTCAAACACAAGGCCAAGTCATGCCCGCGACACATTCCTATTCGGCCTGTAAAATTACTTTAATTTTCTATTCTTACTAGCCCGTTTCACCCTGAGATGCACTACAGTACCCAGCATGCACTGCAACGTAGTGTGCATTCTGACCACCTTCCACCAACAACAATCTATGGGCCAGCGGTTTCACATAAGGAAAAGGTGCCTGGTGTCTAGTTCAAGCAAACAGCCTGCGGCATTGAGGGAGCGACAGGTGGGGGTTGTTTATGATGCCATGCCGCAAATGATTAACCTATGCAAGCCCACCAATCACTCAGCGTGCTCCGCTAAACCTGCTATTCTGTGCATGCTTCTATTGGTACAGCCCAGGGGTAGTAGGGATGTCCTACTATAGACTAAAGAATATAATATAAATGAAAACGCAGACTTACTCTGCTCTGCTTTAAGCTGTAGCTCAGCTATAGCCGCTTTTCTCGCATCTCTGGCAGGAAACTTTTCCACAAAAGTAGAACAGTTTCTTGTAAAATGTCTCTCAACGTTAGACTTTTTACAAGGCTGAAGTCGCTTCTCATTCGCCAGATTGTCGTTCGAATTTTCCCGCTCCGCCTTAAATGGTGCCAGCTGAGAAGCTGGTGAACGAGATGCTGTCTTCAGCCTCGCGACTTTTTAGTGTTTGTCAGTTTCTCGTTGCAGATTAAACGTATCAGGAAAATCAGCTGGAGTGATTATAAACGTCTATATTTTAAAAAAATCCATTCGTCCCCAAATTATCGACGTTCATCTTAAATCTTTCTCTTTGCCTACTAGCTAGGCGAGACTGTTGACTGCAAAGGAGGATTATTTTATGCTTTGCCTAAAAATCTAATTCTGCTGTGGAGCCGCAACAGGGCAGTAAGAGCCGCATGCTGTCGACCCCTGGTACAGCCGTTGATACAGACTAGTAGGTAACTCTAATGTGGTCCATGCAGCTGACTAGGGTTTGATTCTCCACTCAGGCAAAAACACCACACTACACCAGTTAAATTCCACGGGCAAGACTCCTAACGCTGCATTCGACTTTGAACAAATGATCATTCTTATAGCAAAATCACAATTTGAAAGAGTGCAATTTTCAAATCCCAAGAACCACAATTTTATTTATTTAATTACATAAATTTAACATAATAACACAAACCTTGTGAACTGGTACTCTGAAAAAAAGGAAGTGCTTGTTTGTGGGGAAAAGGCGTGTGGTCACTCGTCTAAAACATTTTAAGTGAATTTTGGCCTTAAGTTTTCCCTTTTATCTTAAGTCAGCTGTCAAAAACCTCCTCAGAGAGAATGTCTAATTGGAAAGTGAAAAAACTGTAAATTGTTTTAGGCCCCAAGTTTTAGCCTTTAAGCATTTAACTTTATGAAATACTTTATTTTATTTATTTAATTATTAAATACTGTTTTTTGCAAGCAGCAACTAGAGTTCAATTTATTGAGAATAACAGCATTTCAATGGATATACTGGTCAGAAAAATCACTGAGATATTTTCCACAAATTGTTCAGCCCTAATTCGCCTGGTTGCCGCACTTCCCAGTTTAAAAGACTACACTGAATAATGCATTGCAGGCACTGTATGTTGTGGTAAGACAAATCAATAAAAATGTACTAAATTGGTAGACATTTGGTTTAGTGATGTACCGATCCAATACTCTGGATCAGATCGGCACTAATACTGAACAGATACAGACCAGGCTAGTCCGACACACATTCGAAATGGTCTCTGATGCTGCGTTCACATGATTGCGGCAGACTGATGACGGTAAACTGGATATTTCGTTGTTTTTAACAGAACCACAGCGGAAAATTCTGCCACCACCAGAGGCAATGGTCCACAGACCTCAGTGGTGAGTGGACTGTTCTATAGAACAATCTAAAGAACCCTTGAAGAAGCATGTTTAGAAATTTACTGTTTATTGACCGTTCTGCTGTTTCAGCATGCTTGCTTTTTCCGGTGGTTAAATGTAATGTTGGAAACTTGAAAACTGAGTCAGATTTGCATATACTGTATGTGACGACTTTACACTTAATTCTTAGAAAACACTCCCAGACTTTACTGCTTTTTCACCTTTTCAGGCATTATTGTCCTTTTTCTTTCACTATCTGCTCACAGAGGTACGACACTGTGAGTGATCTGCTGCCCTCTTCAGGTTACATCGATAACTCACAAATGGAAATATCTGTCGCTGATTTTTCATTGTTGACATACTCGTTTCAACCCTAATGTTGATCCGGATGTTACATAATCTTTTTAATTTATAAAATGTTGAAACTGGGACTAGATCTACATAAATCCCCAAGATGGACACAATTTTGATTTCTGTAAGGTTGTGAATGCAGTAAAATTAATAGAAAGTGTTTTGTTTATTGTTTTATTATGTTTAGGCATAATAATCCAGCATCACCTAAACATGCTTTACTGCTTATTGGCTCACTTTATTTAGGTACAGAAATGTGGTACTGAATATGCAGTTTTTCAATACTTGGTATTCTGGACTGTATTGAATTTTGATGTCTGTCTCATTTACAGACTATTAAAATCAATTTCACTCACTTTGCCTCGTGGTGCTCACTGAGTGCTGCATGCTTGTAGGTGTCCTTAATCCAGATATAGAGAGTGTGAAATGAACTTAGCAGAAAGTAGAGCTGTCTGTAAGTCCACTTGGGCCGCCGGCTTTGGACGTTTGGAAGGCACTCACTTTATAAAAATGTCACTATTATTTTTTTTATTTATTGCCATTTCACTGCCACGTGTTGCCACTGACTGTAGGGACCTTAGAGTTATTTTAATCAATCCACAGTGTAATAGTACAGTCAGAGCATTGTAGGGTAAAACAGTCCCCAAACAAAACTTGGCTATATTTGTGCTGTAGTCATGCAGACCCCTGGTTCCTATCACCACAAAGAGCCTCTACATTGAACCATTTCACACCAAAACCACTCTGAATAACTTTGTTTACATCTCAAGGACTGAATTCTTCAGAAATTTTGAAAAATTGGTGGAATATCCCTTTTAGCCAGGGAACCAGTGAGCACCACTGGACACTGTCTCGCTTTACAAAGGCTGAATGCTATGAATGCATTTGAAAAACTCATCATAGTTCATGTAATAACTTCCTGTGAGGTATTAAACTGTTAAGGCGTCTGCTTCCTATCACCACCACTGTGAACAGCTCTAACTCGGCAGCTTTCTCCAGAATGCAGCATTTCGCACCAAACCACTCTGAATGATTGTTTACGTCTAAAACGAATGAATTGTGCAGAACATGATGAAATTTGAGTGAAATCCCCCTTTGAGACTGCCTCAAGAGCATGTTTGGAGGCCTAATGAGAAGAAAGAAGTTCCGTCAAGTGTGGGAAGTGAGGTCATGACCAAGTTCCAGCAGACTGCAGCAACAAAAGCTGCTGGAAGAGAAAAGAGAGAAAGAAAAGGCAGGCCGGTTCTGTCCGGATTCAGCCTGTCAAGCTGGACATAAGCTACTGTAAATGGGGGAAAAGAGGAGCAACAGCAGTTTTCACCAAGTCTCTCTGCTGCTCTACGTCAAGGTGGGATTCTAACAGGCTTCAGTGTCACAGCCACAGAGGTATTTATGATTAAAGGAGAATTCCACCAATTTTTCAAAATTTCTGACTAATCCAGTCCCTGAGATGTAAACAGAGTGATTCAGAGTGGTTTCATGTGAAATGGTTCACTGTAGAGAAACTTACAGACTCAGATCTCTTTACAGTGGTGGTGATAGGAACCAGGGGTCACCATGACTACAACTCAAATATAGCTATATGGTTTACTATCCAAAACCACCAGTGAACCTAGAGTCTTCTGAGCTGTTATAGGCAATGCTGACGGTAAAAGAGTCATATATCTGGAAATAATCAGCTTTTTGAGGACTATCTTGCCTTACAACACCCTGCATGTATCCCTCCACCGTCATCAATGGATTAAAATACATTTTCAGCCAAAACTTTATCACAAAACAGTGTCTCAGACATAAGGCAGTGAATTCATAACAATTTCATGTAATAACTGTTTGTGAGGGAGCTTTTGGAGGTGGACGTCTGGTTCCTATCACCACCACTGTGAACAGTTCTGACTGGGTCAGTTTCTCTAGAACGCAGCATTTCACACCAAACCACTCCACATGACTTTGTTTACATCTTAAACATTTACCTATGCAGAATTTTTGGAAAAATCGGTGGAGTTCCCCTTCAATGCAGCACAAGGCGGCATACCGAGCTAAGAGCTCCAGTGTTTGTGAGGCTGCACGCTGCAGTACTGAGTCTCGCCTACAGATGAGCCTCCAAACACGGCCGCTGAGGTGCTGTTTTGAGTCGAAACGGAAGCACTCACCGGTTTCTGCGTCTGCTCGCTCGGGCTCTGTGAAAACGCCAACGTTTCTGAGGAGAAAATGAGGAAACAACACAGCAGAAAGGCGGCGGTCAGCGTCAGGAAGCAGCGCAGCTCTGCTCTCATCTGAAGCAGCGCTGTGGAGACAGAGGCAGCTCGTGGAGGGGGCGGGTCTTGACGCGCTCCAGCCAATAGGAGGAGAGGGAGTCCGCTCTGATTGGTCCGCTGGAGCAAGGCTGAGTTGGCAATCAAACCGGCAGCACTGAGCTGTTTTTAATGGCACTGATGAACAAGCAGTTCATGATATATAGGAACACTTTGTAGTTCTACAGTTACAGACTGTAGTCCATCTGTTTCTCTGATACTTTGTCACCCTGTTCTTCAGTGGTCAGGACCCCCATGGACCCTCACAGAGCAGGTACTATTTGGGGGGTGGGTCATTCTCAGCACTGCAGTAACACTGACATGGTGGTGGTGTGTTAGTGTGTGTTGTGCTGTCTGAGTGGATCAGACACAGCAGTGTTGCTGGAGTTTTTAAACACCTCAGTGTCACTGCTGGACTGAGAATAGTCCACCAACCAAAAGTATCCAGCCAACAGCGTCCTGCGGGCAGCGTCCTGTGACCACTGATGAAGGACTAGAGGATGACCAACACAAACTGTGCAGCAGCAGATGAGCTATCGTCTCTGACTTTACATCTACAAGGTGGACTGACAAGGTAGGAGTGTCTAATAGAGTGGACAGTGAGTGGACACAGTCTTTAAAAACTCCAGCAACACTGCTGTGTCTGATCCACTCAGACCAGCACAACACACACTAACACACCACCATCATGTCAGTGTTACTGCAGTGCTGAGAATGATCCACCACCCAAATACTACCTGCTCTGTGAGGGTCCATGGGGGTCCTGACCACTGAAGAACAGGGTAAAAGGGGGCTAACAAAGTATGCAGAGAAACAGATGGACTACAGTCTGTAACTGTAGAACTACAAAGTGCACCTATATAGTAAGTGGAGCTGATAAAATGGACAATGAGCGTAGAAACAAGGAGGTGGTCATAATGTTATGCCTGATCAGTGTATAAACGTAATGCACAGCCTCAAGTGGCTTTACATTCTTTTATAAAATGACTGCCAACATAAAATATGAGATCAAATACACAACTTTTTATAAAGTAGTTTAAGTTGTTATTAATAATAATCTACATAAACAAGTATTCTGCCAAGAAATGTAGTTCCTTTAGAGTATGTTATCGTTGCCAGCCAACCATGTACCGCTGAATGAGGAGAAGAACGTTTGGTCGCCCATCGCTGTAAGCTGCGGTTCTTTCATGTACTTTTTGTCGTATAACAATGAACATCTGATAACACAGCACTGTTTAATGGAAAACCTTCGCTTTATATGTACTTTTCGGTCACCAAATAACCACCACAAGTCTTATTTAGCACCAATCCAGCAGCGCCCCTTCTTCTCACGCTGGGGCTGAATCTCAAACAGCTCCCTGCTCCCTACATAGTGCACTACACAGGAGTTTAAATACTGGATCCTGCAGCCCAACAGAGCAAAATGCAGCTAAGAAACAGTCATTTAGGATTCAGACACATCCACACTGGATAAATGATGCACTGTTTGACTGTAGAGGCTAGAATTTCTAAACTTTCATAGCTAGAACACTATTTAGGGAGTATGGAGCCGTTTGGGATTCAGTCTGGGTTTGACGCTACTTCTGACTGAAATATGAACATTTGAAGTGTGTAAAACATTCAAGTGACATTTTTTAGACATTTATACTGCCGTTTTTCAGTTAATCATTCCGTATGTTCTTTAATTCAAGCCTGTGATATTAGTGATGGAGTTGTTTAGGCTGCTGGCTCTTTTAGCCTGTTAGCTAGCTGACCAAGAACATAAGTTGTCAGCCCCTCAGTTTAAACAAAAACAGGTTCTTACTTCATCAGTACACTCGGTGCTCCATGCGAGCAGCATTAGAGTGAAACGTTATTCATTAACAGCAAAAGGGGTTTTCATGATGTGGTGCAGTAATAACCTCTACAGAGTTCAGTCTCTGTGAGGCGGTTACAGCTGTGCATATATCGCAGATTTTACAACGGCTTCGAAAGCGGCTCAGCCAATCAGATTTTAGGACCGGAACTATTAAAGCAATGAGCCACTAGAGGCCGCTATTTTCTTTACTTTAGCATTTCTTAAAGCTTGACCTGATCAATATTATTGAAATACTCGTTTTTATGGAGCCCCGCTGGTGACATCCTGAATAATAAAAATAATGCATGGCCACGACTTCGTAAGGCATGGGAATGAGATGATTAAGTCATGGCCACGACTTAGTAAAGCATGGGAACGAGATCCTAATGCATGGCCACCACGTAGTAAGGCATGGGAACGAGATCCTAATGCATGGCCACCACGTAGTAAGGCGTGGGAACGAGATCCTAATGCATGGCCATGACTTAGTAAGCCGTGATCTTGTTCCCACGCCTTACTATTCATGGCCATGCATTAGGATCTCGATCCATGCGTTAATAAGGCGTGGCCACACATTATTTTTTTCTTTTACACAGGATGTCACTAGCAGGCCTGTGTACATTTTTATTATTGTGTAACAAATAATATGATTCGGGTCGATGGAGAGGGGTGTCAGGGACATAACGCTGCTCTTCATTCTCCCATGTCATCTCCATGGATCACTGTTTGTTATAAATTGACACTTTTTGGCGTTCATTTAAGGGCTTTAGCCTCCATCTTCACCCTTTTAGCTTTGAGAAAGATCACACTGGGCCTCATTCACCAAGCATTCTCAAGAAGAAATTTCTTTAAAACCCACTTACCCAGTTTTTACGAAGATTCTGCCATTCACCGATGTTTTCTTACGTGGGATTTGTTCTTAGGTAAGAACAGAATCTACACACACTCAAGAGCACAAAGGTGAGAACGGTTCTGCGCTTTAAGAACACGCCATGAATCTGATGTAGACTTTTTCTTAGAGCCTTTCTCAAGAACACATTTAAGAGAAAACGTAGGAAAATACTGGTGAATGAGGCCCAGTGTGATATATGTAGCCTTCGAATGCACAACGGAGACCATTTTGTCTTCTCTTTTTTTTCCTTTGCTCCAAAATTGAAGTTTGGAGACTTTCTTGCACAGAAAAAAAGCAGTATTTCTCAATCCTAGTCTGGTCTAAACAGACTGTTTATGCTTTGTTTACCCAAACATAACTCCTCAGTCCAGTGTGAGTTCTTCCGGTACAGCCTGTTTTTCTAGAATACGTTACAGAACTATAACGTAAGCTTTGAAAGAGCAATTTGGAGACTGTGAAAAACATACTGTTTTTAACATCTGCATTGATCACATATACAGTTCTTGATTTTTTGGGAGATATTTCTGAGATTAGATAGATTTTCCACTTGCATAAGGAAGAAGAAAGTTACAGGAAAACACAGGAGTTTCCAAAACTGATTAAACGCTACAGACAAAAATGTGGCTCCTAACAACCACCTGGAAGACCTGGTAGACCCCACAACTGCCCCCATCAGATAAACAGCACTTAAAACTTTCATCTCTGAGAGAGAGGAGAAAATCAAGCTGCTTCAGATCTGAAAACATCCACAGGTGTTTCTGTCCATCCTTCCACTGTGAGAAGACGACTCAGCGCTGTGGGTCTGAAAGGATGTGTAGCTGATCAAGAAGAACCTCACTGAGAAAAGGAGACGGACACATCAAACAAAGAAGCTGAACGATGGACTGACCACCCCAGAGTCCAGACCTCAACACCACTGAATGTGTTTGATTACTTCAGAAAATGATCAACCAGCTTCTAAGACTGAACTTTGGAGGTGTGTCTGCAGATTCTTTGAGGAACTGAAAGTGAGTCTCCTGAAAAGAATGGAAGCTGAAATAAAGGGAAAGAGTGTTGAGGTTTCTGTGTAAATTTCTGTTAAATATATTTTCTGCTTTTTTCCTGATACTGAAAAAATGAATAACTGAATGGCCATTTTGATTACAGATGAAATGAAGCGTGTACAGTACATTAAGTTAACATTAGATCAGTTTTTAGTACTTACCTAATGAAATGAATGAATGATTGATGAATTAAACTGGGTCAGTATCATAAGATGTTTAATTACACAACTTATTCACACTTATTTAAACCAATCCTATCATTTGCACTCATAAAATAAAAGACAAATGCTAAAGCAAAAAGCCAAACATGCCCGTTCTTTTTATTTTATTTCTCAAACTCAAATAAAAGCAAATGCTCAGTAATAACAACAGAATAGCAGTCAAACAGCATAAATTCAGGACGGTGTGTTCAGACCAGGCCTTTTGGACCTGTGATTAGGAGCCTCTCCAGTCTCTGTAAATCTCATGCGTCAGGCTCCAGTCCTCACAGGCCAGAACTCTGCAGACTTCATCACGCTGCCTTATTAAACACACCTGATTCAGCTCATCAGCTAATCAGCAAAGCCTTTATGAACTGAGTTCAGAGCGTTAGATGAGGGTAAATGCTGATCTCCACAGCACTTTGGACCAGAAGGTCCCCAGTTTGACACGCCTGCTGTAAATATTACTCTTAGTGCATCCTCTAGTGTCCATTAGGAGAAAAGCACCAGCGGTCCAGCACTGACATTATCCTCATCTGTCCAGCTGCAGATGCTTTTTCCTCCACCTCTAATAATCCACTATTTAAAATCACAGTATTATATGTGTTGATCACTGCGAGAAACATCTCATCACTGCCATATCAAAACTGCACTTACTCCCTCCAGCTGCCCTTTACACTACACTCTTAAAAAAGATGGTTCGTCAAGAGTAAATGCAAGGGTTCTATGAGTTCTTTACAGAACCATTTCATGCTCAATGGTTCTTTGCATGGTGAAATGGTTCTTCAGATTGATGGAGAATGTGCTGTGGCTCTTTACAGCACCAAAAAGGGTTCTTCTGTTGTTACAAGCTTGACATTGTAACAACAGAAGAACCTTTTGGTGCTATATAGACCCCTTTTCAAAAAGGTTCTATATACATCCATATACAACATTCTCCATCAATCTGAAGAACCATTTCACCATGTATAGAACCATTTAAGCATGCAAGTAGATCTATATAGAAAAATAGAACCATTCTCTTTACTAAAGAACCCTTGAAGAACCATCTCTTTAAGAGCGTATATAAATATTTTATAATTATTGGACCGACAGAAATTATTCAAAATGTCATAGATTCATATGTTGTTGCATTAAAATCCCAAACACAGTGTGACATACACTCTTGAAAATGACGATTCTTCAAAGGTTCTTTAGTAAAGAAAATGGTTCTATACAGAACCATATACACTCAAAGAACACTTTGCATGATTAAAGCGTTCTTTGCATCGTGAAAGTGTTCTTTAGATTGCAGACTGCAGGGTGCTGTAGATGGTTTTACACAGAACCTTTTTGAAAAAGGTTCTACACAGCACCAAAAAGGGTTCTGCTGTTGTTACGATGTCAGCTCTGTGACATAGTAGAACCCTTTTTGGTGCCACATAGAACCATCTATAGCACATTCTCTATCAATCTGAAGAAACATTCCACCATGCAAAGAACTATTTAATCATGCAGAGTGTTCTATGAGTGTTCATGGTTCTATATAGTACCATTTCCTTTACTAGAACCTTTGAAGAACCATCCTTTTTAAAGAGTGTATTAAAAATGTTTGTATGATACTAAAATTGAGTGTTCCAGAAAAGTTTGAAGTAAATAACAACACCGAAATTTAACAAGACACTGAATAACTGCTTATCTGATCTGATGACTGTGTGGGCGTGGCCTAATATTCTAATGAGCACATGTGATTGGCATTCCTCAGTCTAACACTCCTAGTCTGCTCCACCACTGAGGCAGATCTAAACACAACAGCGTGAGTGAAGCAGGTCGTGTTGTAGATCCTATTCACTGAAACATGACCCAGCTTTTATATGGACAGGTTCTAATTCACTTTACTGCTGAACGAATGAACGAATGAATGGACGGCAAGACAGACGACAGGCAGACAAATGAGCCAGCCTCACAGATCAGTTATGCTTGCTAGGTTAGCTTTCGCTTGGTGGTTAGCTTCCTCCCAGTAAGCTTCTTCAGTTTTGTTAAGCTTTGTGGGCGAAACAAACCACATCAGCCTTGTGATTGGTGACGATACTGCTTACATATGTAAGACCCAAGACTGGAACCGCCCAGTTTACATGGAAAGAGAAGAATTTGGGCCGTGTAGTGGACAGACATCCATATGTATGGATGCAGGACACGCTCTGTGCATGTATATTGTATGCCCACAATATCACGACTGACTTAATTATAAAAATATGGATTTACTTTTCTTAAAAGTTGGCATTGCAGAGATATGAGGGTTTGTTATGACAGCGACAATTTGAAAACAAAATGCAATTCAGCTCTGACATCCACTCCACCACCTCCACCACGTGTAATGCCTTCATTAAATCAATCACACTGCCTGCCGTTTAAAAATCATGCTCTTTTCTGACCAACATAATATGCGTAAGAAAAGAAAAACAAACTTAAGTACCTATAATAAGGTTCACATTAAAGATTATCCTTTCAAATACAGACATTCACTGTCATCATTGTTACAGAGTAGCTACAAAAGGCTGAATATCAGCTCTAGGGTTCAGAACTGCAGTCCAGGGACGCGGGAAGGTGATTTAAGTTGGGGATGTTGAGATTGTAAGCAGTATATCTGTGATGTGAGTGATGACATCATGCTAAATTATTTGCCTTTTTCTTGTGAATTTTTTTGATGAATTACATCAAAGATAACGTGTCGTACTGCACTATAATGAGGCGAGAGACGACAACATATATAACTGACACACCAGAGCTCTGACCCACATCTCTCTCACTGCTCTCTCACTCTGGACGAACACTATGCAAATTCACTAAGCAGTGACCAATCAGATTGTTATATTATTATTATTAATTACATTTAATTATTATTAAATACACTTATTAAATTAGATGATATTTTAAAAGTTTAAAAAACATTATTAAGCTGCTTTGGGGTCCAGAACGAGCCTCTATCTCCGCACACACTCTCTCTCGTTGCACCTCAGTCTGCTTGTGTTTTAGCCTGTTGTTAACGAGGGAAGTGATTTGAGTCGCTGTAATGAACATACAGAGTGAACTTTAACAGTGCAGCTACTGCAGATTGTAAAAATATATAAATAAAAATAGAAAAATACAAATTCCTCTCTAAAAAAACACTTAAGTCTTCAACTTAAGCTACATTTAAATTATTAAAAAGCTCAGATCTCTGTGTTATTATTTCTGTTTTTAACAGCTGCAGTCCTGAAATCAGGGGATGCTGTAGCCCCCTCAGAACCCCCCCCACTTCCCGCGTCCCTGCTTGTATTTTGCAGCCTTTTTAGGGGAGGCTCTTGACTGTCTGATGAGGTTGGGGCGGATGTAGTTTAAACTGCGGAGGCAGACACCTTCCAAAGCTCCTGCAAAGAAATGAAACAGAATTCACTGCAACACACAAACAATCAGTGCATATACAAATATAAAAGAAAAACAAATTGGACAGAACTTTTCAGGTATCACAACAGAAACTCATCAAAGAGCAAAAATGCAAAAAAATTGAGAAGGCTGAGCAAATTGAGAACACAACAGCTCCCCCTACTGGTGGTATTAATATCATGCCTGAGAAAACAGGAAAATCTGCCTCACTCCCTCTGCTGAAGAGCGACAGCTCAGTCTTAAGCACTACTGAAGATGAACTACGTGTCCCAGAGGAGGCTGAGTAATGTAATGTGTTGAATCTGATTGTTTAAGTATAAAGTACTGATGTAATTTCCTCAAACTCTCACGGACAGCCTGGACTGAAAGGTCAAAGCCCGAACATTCACATCACGCTCTGTTATTCCATTACTGTGAGGTGAACAGTGCTACTATAACTGACGGCTCAGCCAATTACAGAAGACCATTCACTCCACAATTATTACCGTCAGACTGTAAAACTACACACACTGCAGATTCATACTGGATTAAAATCACTCCACAATTATTACAGTCAGACTGTAAAACTACACACACTGCAGATTCATACTGGATTAAAATCACTCCACAATTATTACTGTCAGACTGTAAAACTACACACACTGCAGATTCATACTGGATTAAAATCGCTCCACAATTATTACAGTCAGACTGTAAAACTACACACACTGCAGATTCATACTGGATTAAAATCGCTCCACAATTATTACTGTCAGACTGTAATAATAAACTACAGACACTGCAGAAACTCCATACATTGGTTGATGTTGTTAACTCACCGAACATCCATCTATCGATCCATCCAAGCTCCCTTCCATCTATCCATCTACCCACCCATCCACCTATTCGACCATCCATTCACCCACCCATCCATCCAACCAGTCATCAATCCATCTACACATCCACCCACCTACCCACCCATTCATATATCCATATATCCATCTACCCACCCATCCACCAATTCATCCATCCATACATCCATCCACCCATTCACATATCTATACATCCATCTACTCACCCTATCCACCCATTCATCCATCCACACAGCCATCCACCCACCCATCTTTTCATTCATCCATCCATCCATCCATCCATCCAGAAGCAGATAAACGCACCAGCTGGTCCACTCGCTCGTACTGGAAGAACTGTGGGAAAAGAGCAGGGCACTGGCTCCACCGTAAACTTCATCTTTCCGTCCTTCATGTCTGCCAGCTGCTTCAGGCAGAGCCGGAAATGATCGTAGGCCTCGCAGGACACGTCCATGTGGCGCAGAGTGAAGTTCAATCTGCAGGGACGTCACAGAATCCAGTCAGGCATGAGAGACTTACTGCTCACCACCAAGTCATGTGAAAGTGAATGAATAACCCTTAGTTCTGTAGTCACTAGTGTCATTTGCTGTGAGCCAACTAAGAACATGGGCACTGCATTTATTTATTTTTTAACCATTGTTACTTTGGTTGATAAAAAGAACTTGGAATTGAAGATAAATTTAAACCTCACACTAATTTAACAGCTAAACTTTTCAACAATTAGTGTTCAACTATCCCAATGAGAAACTATTTATTGTGTCATTCACACACAGCTGCGCTCTTCCATAGCAGCTCTGGGACATTTTTTCCTATAGTCATCTCCACAACCTACTAGCATTACGTGTACTACCGTTAAGCATGGGATACATTTACTTATGGTAAATTTGTGGTTTTCTACACTTTTGGGCCGTTAACTTCATTTACATGCTATTTCTTATTTTTCATTATGCAAAACAGACTGTGCACACAGTAACTTGCAGCGTTTGTGCTATATACACTATATTGCCAAAAGTATTCACTCACCCATCCAAATCATTGAATTCAGGTGTTCCCATCAGTTCCATGGCCAACGGTGTATAAAACCAAGCACCTAGGCCTGCAGACTGCTTCTACAAACATTAGTGAAAGAACGGGTCGCTCTCAGGAGCTCAGTGAACTCCAGCGTGGTACACTGATAGGATGCCACCTGTGCAACAAGTCCAGTCGTGAAATTTCCTCACTACTAAATATTCCACAGTCAACTGTCAGTGGGATTATAACAAAAGTGGAAGCGATTGGGAACGACAGCAACTCAGCCACGAAGTGGTCGGCCACGTAAAATGACAGAGCGGGGTCAGTGGATGCTGAGGCGCATAGTGTGCAGAGGTCACCAACTTTCTGCAGAGTCAATCGATACAGACCTCCAAACTTCATGTGGCCTTCAGATCAGCTCAAGAACAGCGTAGAGAGCTTCATGGAATGGGTTTCCATGGCCGAGCAGCTGCATCCAAGCCTTACATCACCAAGCGCAATGCAAAGCGTCGAATGCAGTGGTGTAAAGCACCGCCACTGGACTCTAGAGCAGTGGAGACTCTCTGGAGTGACGAATCACGCTTCTCCGTCTGGCAATCCGATGGACGAGTCTGGGTTTGGCAGTTGCCAGGAGACGGTACTTGTCTGACTGCATTGTGCCAAGTGTAAAGTTTGGTGGAGGGGGGATTATGGTGTGGGGCTGTTTTTCAGGAGTTGGGCTCGGCCCCTTAGTTCCAGTGAAAGGAACTCTTAATGCTTCAGCGACCAAGAAATTTTGGACAATTTTATGCTCCTAACTTTGTGAGAACAGTTTGGGGATGGCCCCTTCCTGTTCCAACATGACCAGTGCACAAAGCAAGGTCCATAAAGACATGGATGAGCGAGTTTGGTGTTGAAGAACTTGACTGGCCTGCACAGAGCCCTGACCTCAACCTGATGGAACACCTTTGGGATGAATTAGAGTAGAGACTGTGAGCCAGGCCTTCTCGTCCAACATCAGTGTCTGACCTCACAAATGCGCTTCTGGAAGAAGGTCAAAAATTCCCATAAACACTCCTAACCCTTGTGGAAAGCCTTCCCAGAAGAGTTGAAGCTGTTATAGCTGCAAAGGGTGGGCCGACATAATATTAAACCCTATGGATTAAGAATGGGATGTCACTCAAGTTCATATGTGTGTGAAGGCAGACGAGCGAATACTCTTGGCAATATAGTGTAGATTCTGCTGCAGCGACCCTGGAAAATTACTGCTGATTCAGAATTTCATGAAATGTCATAAAGTCACAAGTACAAAACTCTGCATTAATTTAAAATGATAAATAAAGGAGGTGGAGACATGTGGTGACACCCAACTCAGTGTTCTTATGTCAATGCTCCTGACAAGGGAGAGAAAAGTAAGTAAGACAGAGAGAGAACAAAGAGCAAGGCAGATTAAACTAGCTAAAGTTAAGTTAAGCCATGGTTATGCTACATGACTTTTACCACGATTTTAGCCCTGAATCTCAGTCTGGCTGAGTCTGAGCTGGTCGGCTCTAATCTGCAGATGTTTGGGTCAGTTGGAGTCGACAGTTGGAGAGAGAGTTGAGTCGTGTTTGAGGGGCGCAGACTCAGATTTTTGGCCTCACTGGTTTCAGACCAGTCTGAGTTTATCAAACGTTTGATTTTTTCGACCTGACTCTGAGTGAAATCCAGTGTAAACTGATCAACGACTCAATCTGAATGGACTCCTCCAACAGCCAATGAAAACTGAGAGCGCCAAAGAAGAAAATACAGCAAGTAAACAAAGAAAAATGGTGAATGGTGTAAAGCAAAGCTTTTTAATGAGCTGAGCTTAAGGCACAATCGAGTTTACGCACATTTAAAACTCAGATAGATTATGTAGTTCAAAGGAATATTTGCAGTGTAACGTTATCCTTTATTGATGTTTACAGCCAACTAATTATTATTATTATTATTATTATTGTTATTTGATTATTTTCTATTATTAATATATCATGAAATGATGGCCCAGCTAACCTAACATTAAAGTTAGTAAACTCAGTAAATCACAATACCGGTAACTTTACTTCAACAAACATCAGTAAAATAACTGCCCACGGTGTTCATGTTAGGAGGTTTACTCTTGAAATGTAATGAAACTATTTTAACTACTTCATCAAAGTAACATAACTTATTACATTTGATTACTTTCAATTTGGTGAACTCTGCCAAATGAATGGAGTTGTTGCTTGTTTTAATGAGAAAGCTTTTGTCATCATGCGCAATCACTGCACGTTCTAAAGGTTATTGGAAGTTAAAGTGACGTTCGCACAGTAAACAGCTGAAGGGTATAAGCAGCGGTACTAAATCAGGGAAAACACTAAATTATGCAGCTGCTATGGCACTTCAGGACAGCTTTGACAGGTTTGATCTATAGCATTTGCTCCCAAGCTGCAGACTGGTGGCTAACTTGTCTTTACCTTTTCTCTATGCTGAAGTAGGCCGTGCAGGGGTTACGCAGGTTGCTGGTGATTCGGTATAGAGTTCGGAACAGGGCGTCAGTGAGATCATCATCATAGCACACTGGAGGAGAAGAGCAGAAAGGTGTGCATATCAATTTGACAAGAATATAATATACCTTGGTCCAGCCTTTTAAGGGTGGGTGGGTGTGGCTATTCAGTGAGAGTATGAAGGCTGGGTGAGTGGGCGTGGCTATTCAGTGAAAGCATGAAGGCTGGGTGAGTGGGCGTGGTTATTCGGTGAGAGTATGAAGGCTGGGTGAGTGGGCGTGGTTATTCAGTGAGAGCATAAAGGCTGGGTGAGTGGGTGTGGTTATTCGGTGAGAGTATGAAGGCTGGGTGAGTGGGCGTGGTTATTCGGTGAGAGTATGAAGGCTGGGTGAGTGGGCGTGGTTATTCAGTGAGAGTATGAAGGCTGGGTGAGTGGGCGTGGTTATTCGGTGAAAGTATGAAGGCTGGGTGAGTGGGCGTGGTTATTCAGTGACAGTATGAAGGCTGGGTGAGTGGGTGTGGCTATTCAGTGACAGTATGAAGGCTGGGTGAGTGGGCGTGGTTATTCAGTGACAGTATGAAGGCTGGGTGAGTGGGCGTGGTTATTCAGTGAGAGTATGAAGGCTGGGTGAGTGGGAGTGGTTATTCAGTGAGAGTATGAAGGCTGGGTGAGTGGGTGTGGTTATTCAGTGACAGTATGAAGGCTGGGTGAGTGGGCGTGGTTATTCGGTGAAAGTATGAAGGCTGGGTGAGTGGGCGTGGTTATTCAGTGACAGTATGAAGGCTGGGTGAGTGGGCGTGGCTATTCAGTGACAGTATGAAGGCTGGGTGAGTGGGCGTGGTTATTCAGTGAGAGTATAAAGGCTGGGTGAGTGGGCGTGGTTATTCAGTGAGAGTATGAAGGCTGGGTGAGTGGGCGTGGTTATTCAGTGACAGTATGAAGGCTGGGTGAGTGGGCGTGGTTATTCAGTGAGAGTATGAAGGCTGGGTGAGTGGGCGTGGTTATTCAGTGAGAGTATGAAGGCTGGGTGAGTGGGCGTGGTTATTCAGTGAGAGTATGAAGGCTGGGTGAGTGGGCGTGGTTATTCAGTGACAGTATGAAGGCTGGGTGAGTGGGCGTGGTTATTCAGTGACAGTATGAAGGCTGGGTGAGTGAATAATGACAATGATAAGTAATGCACATGTGATTTGAGTCTCCTTTAGGCAGTGAGTTCAACCCAAATTGATTATAAAACAGAAGTCTGCCTCACCATCTGCTGCGATAACGAAAGTGGTGTTGTCATGGAGGTCTGCCACCTCCTCCTCGCTCCAGCCGAACTCCGTGTCCGTGTCTGGGGAGCACACAGTCATCACGACATTACAAAAGTCAATCAGCAGGCTGACCTTTAAGTGCCTATTCTGTTTTTCAGCTCCACCGTGTCCTCCTACCTGTGAGGAAATCGTCTGCGGTCCAGTCCAGCTGCCGCACCTTCAAGCCACGCTCTGCTGGAGGAAAGGGCCAGGAGTGTATAAGAACAAAAGAGGTACTATTAAACGTGTGGGACATTTTTGCAGCATGAAAAGATGTGATTTGAAATTTGCTGCCAGGATACCCCCCTTAAGTGAGGTTGACACAAGCACACCTGCAGTGCTAGTTAATTGATGTGCTAATGAAGCCCACCTGCAGGCTCAGTATAATGACTGTTCAAAGCCACGTTTCTCTGACACATGCTGAGGAGGTCCTCACCAACATCTGCAAAACAGACACAATTAAGAAGATTTTATATACATATGTATTTCATTTCTAATCAAAACTGCCATTAAGTACAAGCAATTCGTTTTTCACAAGATATTTCTGAAGAGATCAGATATAAAATCATCCACTTGCATAAGGAAGGAGAAAAACAGGAGTTTCTAAAAGTGGAGTTCAAAAACTGATTAAAAGCTACACAGAAAATGTGGCTCCTAACAACCACCTGGAAGAGCTGGTTGACCTCAAAACTGCCCCCATCAGATAAACAGCACTTAAAGCTTTCATCTCTGAGAGAGAGGAGAAAATCAAGCTGCTTCAGATCTGAAAACATCCACAGGTGTTTCTGTCCATCCTTCCACTGTGAGAAGACGACTCAGCGCTGTGGGTCTGAAAGGATGTGTAGCTGATCAAGAAGAACCTCACTGAGAAAAGGAGACGGACACATCAAACAAAGAAGCTGAACGATGGACTGACCACCCCAGAGTCCAGACCTCAACACCACTGAATGTGTTTGATTACTTCAGAAAATGATCAACCAGCTTCTAAGACTGAACTTTGGAGGTGTGTCTGCAGATTCTTTGAGGAACTGAAAGTGAGTCTCCTGAAAAGAATGGAAGCTGGAATAAAGGGAAAGGAAATACTGGAAATTGAAATATTTATTTGTTGAGGCTTCTGTGTAAATTTCTGTTATATATATGTTTTCTGCTGTTTTCTGACACTGAAAAACACATAATATCAGTTTGTACTGGAAATAAAATAGTAATATATGTACAAATATGTTGTAACATATGTACACATTACACACACACACACACACACACACACATACACATATATATATATATATATATATATACATAAATTGGGCTCCAAAAGTCTTAGACCACATTATAAATCTTTTTTCATTTAAACCTGGACATTTTTAAAACAAAGGGAAATCTTAATGCTTCAGCACCAAGACATTTTGGACAATTGTACACTTCCAACTTTGTGGGAACAGTTTGGGGAAGAACCTTTCCTGTTCCAGCATGACTGAGCCCCAGTGCACAAAGCAGCTCCATAAAGGCCTGACTGGGTGAGTTTGGTGTGGAAGAACTTGACTGGCCCTCACAGAGCCCTGACCTCAACCCCATCTAACACCTTTAAGATGAACTATAACAGAGATTGCGAGCCAGACCCTCTCGTCCAGCATCAGTGCCTGACCTCACAAATGCTCTTCTGGATGAATGGGCAGAAATTCCCGCAGACTCTCCAACATCCTGTAGAAGCTTCCCAGAAGAGTGGAAGCTGTTAGAGCTGCAAAGGGGAACCAACTCCATATTAATGCCTATGGATTTAGAATGGGATTCATAAAAGCTCCTGTAGGTGTGATGTGTAGGAGTCCCAATACTTTTGTCCATATAGTGTGTCATAATATGCTAAACTGCACTGCTGATTCGTTCTGTGTGTTTTAATGTAAGTCTATGTGTTTTATGCACGCTGTATTATTTATATGTGCATTTAAGCAGAAGCCAAACACTAATTTTCCACTAATTCTGGCGAACAATAAAGATGATCTCATTTACATGAGACACATATCAGTGCTTTTTGGGAAGGCATTATCACCCGGCCTACTCGAATAATAAAAATAATGACACCAATTATCAAAATGGACCGCAGCCATCTGAAAACAGGACAAACTAATTAGTTTCTTATTATGTAAGACAGCTTATGTAACTCTTCATGCAATGTGCACCAATAATTGCCACATAAAAGAAACCAGCAGAGGAGCAGAAGACACTCAGTCTTTGAGTTTGAAATGACCGAGGAGGAAAAGATCTCTAAATAAACCCAGCAGGATTCAGAACAGTGAGTACGTGAAGGGTCTGGTCTAGGAGTCCTGCAGCTCTTTTACTGCCCTGTTGTGGCTCCACAGCTGAATCAGATTTGTAGGTAAAAATAAAATAATCCTCCTTTACAGTAAAATAAAGCTCTGCTGATCGTTCAACACAGTTTAACAATAAACAGTCTTAAACGCTGGAGTGAATGTAGAACTGCTAATTCACCCTTTAACCCTGAAGGCTGGTGCACACACTGCTTGACACTATAGCAATGCAGACAACAATCTCGCCTAGCTAGCAGCTAACGAAAAGGGAAAGAGAGAGATTTAAGATGAACATCAATAATTTGGAGATGAATGGACTTATTTGCATTTATAATCACTCCAACAAGAAACTTACAAACACTAAAAAGTCATGAGGCTGAAGTCAGTTTCTCGTTTCGCCAACTTCTTGTTCGAATTTTCTCGTTCCACCTTAAATGGTGCAGCAGTTACATTCTGGCAACTCAGGCGCCATTTAAGGTGGAACGGGAAAATTCAAACAAGAAGCTGGCGAATGAGAAGCAACTTAAGCCTCGTAAAAAGTCGAACGTTGAGAGACATTTTACAAGAAACTATTTCACTTTTGTGGAAAAGTTTCCTGCTGGAGATGCGAGAAAAGCAGCTATGGCTGAGCTAAAGCTTAAAGCAGAGCAAAGTAACTCTGTGTTTTCGTTTGTATTACATTTTTTTTATCCTATACTAGAACATTAGCAATACTGAGACATATTTACAGCCGAGATGGTAAAATGGACATAAAATGTTGTGGCTCCCAAGGTGGTTTGATTTTTATTGAAAGGACAAAATGGCCTTAACATTTGGGTTGCCGACCCCTGGTCTGATCAGTGCTTCAACTCTGAAGATCTGCGTGGATCATAAAAAAGAGAGAGCCTGTAAAAAACAACAACAACCAGCATACAGTAACAGTATGAACTGCATAGCAACAAGTAGGTGATTGGACGACAGCCAATTATGCCATTATCTTATTCAATTAATTTATTTGTAGCAATTATGTGATTTTTCATTCGTGTTTCTTTTAGATAGTTTATTCATAGTTTTTCATTTTCAAATGTGGCTGGGTGCATTGTGTCTGTTCCAATTTATTCACAAATCTCAGAAAAACTAATTGTCATGTTAGATATCGTTTACTGTGAAAATATCTTTTTATATAAATTATATTTTTGCCATATCATCCACCCTTACTATATATTAAAGGGCCCATATTATGGAAAAACATTTTTTAATAGTTTGTAATTATTGTTAAAGTTTTAAAACGTACAACTCCTAATCAGTTCATTCAGCCCATATATGGAAACCTACAGCAGTTCAGCCCCGCCCACTCATACTGAACTGAGTGTTTCAGCCTGAGCTACTTTTAGAATGAGGCACAGCCAATCAGAACAGAGCTTAAAGGCGCAGTAACAAAAACAGCCTGTTTAATTCTAAGGGATAAAGAGAGGCTGAATGGTTTTACGGCTGTTTTTCTTATATAAAATCACAAAAATATTATAAGTTTGTGTTTTTCCAGACGGTTTTAAAACTGCCCTGGTGAAGCCTCTGCTAAAAAAGAGTAGCATGGATCCTTCCGTACTTAATCATTTTAGACCAATTTGAAACTTGCCTTTTTTAAGTAAAGTCTTAGAAAAAGTTGTTTTCAAACAATTAAATGTGTATCTAATATTAAACAAGTTTATGAGAAGTTTCAGTCAGGTTTTCGTTCTAACCATAGTAACGGGACAGCACTGGTTCATGTTATGAATGACCTCAGGCCCAGCGCTGATGCACAAAATCCTTCTATTCTGGTTTTATTAGATCTTAGTGCAGCTTCTGATACCATTGACCACAAGATTTTAATCAAGCGTCTTGAACGCTGGGTCGGCCTCTCGGGCACAGTTTTAGAATGGTTTAAATCATATTTAGGTAATAGGCAGTTCATGGTTTCACTTGGAAATCATTCATCAAAAAGATCTGGCATTTCTTGTGGAGTCCCTCAAGGTTCAGTTTTAGGGCCTCTTTTTTTTCTCCTTTGCACACGCTACCCCTAGGTGATGTCATTAGGAAACATAATATAAACTTTCATAACTATGCTGACGACACCCAGTTATACATTTCTATTCCTTCTGATGATCAAGACTCTGTAGACAGACTGACCAGCTGTGTGTCAGATATTTCTCAGTGGATGTCGCAAATTTTTCTACAACTAAATCACAAAAAAATAGAAATACTGATCGTTGGTACAAAAACTCAGAGAAAGCTGCTTCATATACCAAACCTGCAGTATGAAACCTGGGTGTGATGTTAGACTCTGAGCTCTGTTTTATCCTGCATGTACACACAGTCACTAAAGAAGCTTTCTATCATTTGAGAAATATAAAGTTCAGCCTTTTCCATCTCAGATCGCACAAAATGTAGCAGCACGCATCCTAACAAAAACAAAACAGAGACATCACAACACTCCTGTTTTAAAAGAGCTGCACTGGCTGCCTGTATCGTTCAGGATAGGTTTTAAAGCTCTGCTACTAGTTTTTAAAGCTCTAAATGACCTTAAAGCTCCAGTAACAGCACAGAGTGTCTGTGTGTTTATGTTCCAGCACATCAAGCTCAGTGCTCGCTTCTAAGAAGCATCCAAAAACGTATCTCTTTAACTTAGCCTTCAATTAAAACTCTACGTCTCTTGATATTTATCTTTTAATTTCACGCTGTGTCATATTCTTATATGACTCTACATTAATACTGATTATTTTTTGTTTTACTGTTAAGCTTTATCACCTGTCTGTAAAGCATTTTGAGCTGCCACCGGCATGAAAAGTGCAATATAAATAAAAAATATTTTTGTTATTATTATAATTATGATCAAGTACATCAAATTAAATGAAAATGTAGAATATAGAAGCTTTAAATAACAGCAGCACAAGAGGTTTATTCTTATATTGAAGAAATGACAACCCAAAGACAAACTACTCAAAACAAATGATCTGAACAGAAAACCAATCACTCGCAACCTCGCTGGCAATCAATCTCAGTTCACAGAGAGCATCTGCTTGTGCGACAGCCTGTTTTAAATGACACAGGGCAGCGAGACGGGCTGGGTGATGATAAAGGAGCTGGAGCTTATCAACCAGAAGATCACATTGAAGTCTTG